TAATGGTTAATTCAACCCATTACTCTCAACACTGAAGAAATCTTTCTGTGATTTACACTGGAAACATTCACTCCAGAAACAGTTGCTGGGCGTGAATTCTTCAGCCACTACAGAACGAAACAGCTGGATGAATACACATGCTAGGTATTTGCTCTTTTATGATATATATCATCCAGAGCAGAGAGTCCAGCTCCTCTGAGCCCTATAATGAGACTGTTGACATTACCCTGGAAAATGACCGTCTGGAGGTAACAATAGAGCTAAGCACGGTAACTGTGGGAAGTGAAAGGACACGGTGCACGTGTCAAATGGCCACGGTGAATGCATAGGGAACGAGGAACCGGTACTGGGAGCGCTGTCATTGTTTCCACCAAAACCAGGTTCTCACACTTTTTACTGGTCCATGTGTCTGGGTGTGGTGCCATCCAGCTGCAGGAGCTTTCTTTGTGACCCAATGTGCGCCGACCGTGCAGCCAGTTGCCCTGGTGACAGTTCATATGGGACAGCGAGGGAGGTGGATCCAATAAACACATCCAAGTAACGTATGAACGAAATTCTCTGCATCGCTTCAAAACACCGCATCTCGATCCAAAATAAAACTAAAAAAAAAAAAAAGTTTTACACTTTCCGTCAGTCTTTTTCATGTTCAGTGTTAAAATATATCTCACATCTGTCCCATTTCAACAGCAAAAGTAAGTGGTTCACCATGGAATAAAAGTGGTTGACCAGAAAAATGTTAATTGTTGTGTGGCATTTCGGTATAAATAGTCACTGAAACACTGTCGGATCTAATTCACAAAGAGAGGAAGTATGCGTATGTCTGAAAGCGAGTCTCAGACAATATAATTTTCCTCTGAGTTTTAAGGGAGAAAACCTCAATTTGTATTTCATAATTGGGGCATTGCAGCAGTCTATTCTCAAACTGCTTCACTCAGCTCAGTTGGGGGAAAAAATGCCCGACTCCTCGTCCTATCATACCTTGTAATTTTATGCATCAGTGTATTTCCCCAGACAAGTTTGGAATCCAGTGCATGTGTTTCCTGGAGAGGAAGATTTACTCATGTCACATGTTCTGTTGTATTTTATACCAGTTTAAAACAAAAACAAGACCTTACTATATTGTGCTAAGGATCAGGGATGCGAAGGGGTGAGTGTTTGTTTTCTACCATCCCACCCCGAGAGAAAAATGAGGAATGTACGAGAGGAATCTGGAAGCAGTTGTCGAGTCCGACGAAACAAGTGGGGTTAGCTCATGTCCGAGACCTCCAGCACGTTCAGAGCTGGTTGTTCCCATGAGCAGTGTGTTGTTGGTTATTGTTGAATTCTTCAAAACTCACAATCGTTCACAGGTAGAAAGTGTGTAACAGCGTAATAATGCAAAACTTGTGTGTCATCATCTTTTCATCGTCCATCCACAGCTCACGTGTTTACAGACCTGAACCTCACTTAGTTGTTACGGCAACTGCTGAGTGTGCACATCCCAAACGGTGCGTTTGAGACCCCAGGACTTCATCGAGCCTCTACAGCTCAACCACCTACTTTATCTCTCACCTGCTGGATGCAGTGGTGGGGTTGTCAGGGGTCTTTGGTTATTTTTGGCCGGGGTGAAGTTTATCTTACAAACTCTGGTGCAGATAAAACGACACTGACCCAAGTGAAAGTTCAAACCAGGTTACAACTAATTTGAAATAAGTCAGAATCCAGTTTCGAGTCAAAGGCTCAAGTGAATTTTTAAGTCATTCAACACAATGTCCAAGTCATTCGAGACAAAGTCAGTCCAGGCCAGTCCAAGTCAGGTCATTAGAGACATGTCCACATTAGATGTCAAGTTAAAGTCATACACACAAGACTTGACGCAAATTACTTTGACTTTAACTGTCACTGAAAGTCTCAATCGAGGCCCGAAGAGGACGTTTATAAAAGAAAATAGGTCTGAATGCAAAGTGTTGTATCATTTCACACTTGTTTTACATAGTTCGCACCACTTCTACTTCACTTCTTTTTCATAGCAATCTCATTCATCACATTTTCATTATGTAACTGTATCTTCAATGTCTCTGCTCAGCTCTTGAGTCAGTATTTGTTATCTTGAAATATGGTCCATAAATAGGTAAAATATTTCTCCCAGGAGTTGAGCCTGGGTCTGTGTCAGCATATTCAGTGTTGGTGCAGGTCTCCAGAGGCTGACATGGATCTAGATCCTCTCTCATTACTCTGAATAGCTGTCTTTGAGAAAATGACAAGTGACCAATCCAGGAAAAACCAAGCAGCCAGCAGTAAAATCAGTAGCTCTTGTTATTGGCTGGAACAGCTGGCTCTTTTCACAGCTATTCAAAAACGGGCCATTCTGCAAAAAATATGTATTTGCATTTCTTAAATTTTCGTAGCAGGGTTCTCTGAGCTTTGGAAAAGCCACATGGATACGTTTTCATATTTCTTTAGCTATATGTCTGCTTGTGTGTTTGTAGGAGGCATCCTTTATATGTTGCTGTGATATTTCCGTGATCCAAACGCAAATGGTGATTTGCAAACAGGTTTCATGAGCCACTTGAGATTATCCAGCAGAAAACACCTTGATGAGACCGAACACACAAAAGTTTGCACAGGTCTCACACTGTAAATGTACATTTCTAGATGTGTTTCACAGTGTGGCTCATTAGTTCTTTATATCTGCTGTTCATCATCTGTTGGCTCCAGTAGAACTGCACAGCGAGTGGCATATTATCTGCAGAATGTTGGAACCACTCCATTGCGTTACGCTCTCATATTTACAACCTGCTGCTGCAGCTTCAGTCCATTTAAACCCCCGACACTCTTCCAAAATTTACACTGAGCCTTCTCCCTGAGGTCCAACTTTGTTCTTGGACCACAAATGGCTGCTGGGGAATAACCGGGGCCCGTGAAAGCAACCTTCAGTGCCTCAGTGTGTGACATGTGGAGTTGTGTTACTAGTGATGTGAACAGCTAATGATGAGAACCTCTGGAAATGGACAGGGCTGTCTTGGCAGTAAAGATTTATAAAACACAAGGGTTATGTATTACTTATAAGTTGCTATAGCAACGTTCAAATCTGTTTCCACAGTCGTGTTATTGATCATTTGTTGGTCGGACCGTCGTAGAAATAAATCAGGTTTTAGAATAATAAATTAACAAGTTGTTGGACCTGATGAATTGAAAACAGACGGAGCAGTGAAGCTGAATCCGACCTCGTTCATATAGATTTTGTATTTTTGCTCAAAGTTAAACCTTTTTCGAGAATCGTGTCTTTGGTTTCTTATTTTCGTGCCTGGCTCGTCTCAGCTGAATCCAACCTGAACACAGGAACAATGCACCATTCAACACCATGAGATGTTTTCAATTCCCAAACAGCCTCATTGTATTTCACATCAACACAAAAGGAGGATCTGCCAATTTTATGGCTCGGGAATGTCAAACTGATACGGATCTTTTTTTTTTTTTTCCACACGCTGCTTCCTTTCTGCATTTGATCAGTGACTTGGCAACAATTTACAAAACCCAACTGTGAAGTGACACGTTGATAAATCACACCCTCAAATTAAAACACTTAATATTGTCTTGATTGTTTTTGACTCGGTTAAAACCTCGGACACTATTTCTCTGCTTTATCAAAAATAACAGGAGAGCAGGAATCCAATCGGATGCTGTAAATTAATCAGCCATTTATTTTGGAATTCAAGCCTTTCTTTGGTTTCAGTTGCTTATTAGCCACAGCTTTACTTTAATGCTTGGTTTGGTGAACTCCAACACACAGCGCCCTCAAGATCAAATTAGAAACAGACTTGTACCTTCTCCGTCTCTGGCTGAAGACACGTAACTCTGCAGGTTGCCTTTCCTCTCTGCTCTGCAAAGCAAAGGTCTCCTGTAACCTGCTGTGGAATATTGATGCGATAACGACGGCTGCGTAACTCTCTGCAATCCGCGAAGTTTTCTTTCCTCCGTGAAACACGCAAAGTCGCGACCTCAATGTGGTGCTCGTGTGTTGATTTAAAGCCTCATGCTATGTGGGATTGTTTTAAAAAAAAAAACAGAATACCACATGTTATTTCCACGTTTTTAAAATATATTCTTTTCCCTTAGTATTTCAATAAGTGTCATTACATTCAAAACATTTGGTGGAGCCTCTATCATTCTATATGCAGATCAAATGTCATTCAGTCCGATTTGAAATCCAAAAAAATATTAAAACCTTATGAAGTCACTTTTCTGTTTACGACTGGGAAAATATAAAAAATATATATTTACCCAGTGAATCCTAAAGAACTCTCCATAGATTCTAAATAAAGACGACACATCATAAATTAAGACAAAATGTCCCAGATAGGAACGCTGCCCTGTTGCGACAAGGACATGATTATTAACCCAAACTTAATAGAAAGTCTGTAAAATTCATTTGCCGTGTATTTTGTCTTTTTATTTTAGTGGATGTCCCATCGGCCAATATGCAGGAGGTGAGGTTTATGCTGCGGCCAGCCACCGGGGCGCAATCTAGAGGCGTCTTTATTGGCGAGCTGTTACGTTGTCGATCTTTATATAAAGTCTGTGTATGCACCACCACAGAGGGCAAGAGGAACAGACAGTAAGGTGCAATATACATCGGTTTTCTTGGTTCACATAGAACCTCATCTGAAGCCGACCTATTTTCAACACTTTTTATTCGACAACAAAAAAGTACAACCACACCGCAGCACTCCCCCACGATGCCTGAATTCTATGGGTTGCATCCTTTCATTGAAATAAAAGGGTTTCAAATGTGTCTCTCTTAAGCAATGTCTGCGTGGGGCCCGAAACCAAAAATAAACCAAATGTCTGGGAAACGCAGCCAATGCATCACACATGTCTGAATTAAATCTTTCTAAGTGTTTCCTCACATACAGCTATGGTCCCTGAAGGAGGTCTCACGGTTTGAAAGCCCGTTTAAAGCTTCAAAAATGGCTTCACCTCAGTCACCTTAATTAATGCCGTTATCTTTCTTTCTTCAGCTACTACAACTGGGAGACGCAGGTGTCCACGTCCAACTCCAGCCCCAACTTTGAGGTTCTTTATGAAGACCCCAACGGTCTTCTCTTCAGGAATAAGAGGGACAAAAAGATCCTGAATGTGGACCCCTCGGTAGGTTTGCTGTTGCTGCTCCTGTTCTTGTTGTTTTTCAGCCCCAGGGTGACAAATGGTCCTGCTAATTAATCAGCTCACCTGTTGCACAGCAGTAAAACTGTCCCAGGGAAGCAGAGCAGCTACAGGGCAAAAAACAAAAGAACTCTTTTCGAATCCTCCAGGAATAACTTTGAACTTTAATATGAACTCAGGTGACTAACTTGCCATGTGCCCACAACATCCTGTTTGTTTGATATTGCCTGAGACCTTCTGTTCCTTTCCGTGCTCTCAGCTTCTCCTCACATTTAACCGTAAAAAAAAAACCGCTGAAACACTTAAAATAGTTAGTTTTCTCTCTGCCAACTTCAAGAATTATCTACTTTTTAGTGAGTCCTAATTGACCGCAGATATCAGAGTCCTGCAGGAGAAGCAGTTGCAGGGAGAAGCAGAGAGAGAAAGAAATCAGTGGGAGGGAAAGATATTTGCTTTCCACCTGCACAAAGAATGGAGGATCAAGGGGTCGGGACAGGTGCTTCCTCCACGCTGTGAGTCTGACAGGGCCCCTGGAAGAATGACGGCTGACAGACTGTTTTTTTTTCTCTCCAGTTTCCCTCTTCGCTGGGGGGTAGGGAAGTAGTTTTTTGGGGCTGAACTATTTTGAAATTGCCGACGGAGCTGTGGGGACTGCGTTTTTGAGGCCAATCGCCAAAATGGCAGCGCAGTGTTCTAGCTGCGGTCGAGCACCGCCCCGACCAGGCTGTCTATTAAAAACACAAGAGGAGGCATAGGAAGCCAGACACAGCAAACCGCCCCAGAACCCAGCTCAGCTCGGCTCAGCCCACGTTGGCTCGGCATTGAGAGCACAGAACCATCCGGCTTTTAACCCACCGTGAGCTCACGAGCTGCTCATGTGGCCACAGAAGAACCTTCCAGAATCAAGGCTCCCATCAACTCATTTTGGGTGGTTTGTTTGTTTTTCTGCCTTTGTCGTACCATGACCGCTTCTTCTGTCCTCGCCAAAAAGTGGGTTGGGGGGTGGAGGGGGTTGTCATATTTTATTTACGACAATGGCTCGATTTAATCCAAGCAAAGGCAGAATCGCGGACGTTAGAAGCAGAGAGAGGACTACTTGGGTGAAAAACCCTTATCATTTAGTTTACCCAGCCATTTACATTTTTTGTCTATGAGGTCATTTTTTTTATTGCTCTATTTTTATTGATGCTCGTTTGAACTCGCAGAGGAAGAAGGCCTCACTTATTAGGACTCCCACAAGTGCGTTTGAGGTAAAAGTGTAAATTGAGTGTAATGGCTGCCTATGGATCCACGCCCACTGGAAGCTTTTGACACACTTAGCCTTAAATAAATGCTACCAGCTGGCAGAGGCTTCTCATCTTAGTGGTGGGGCAGTGTCAGTTTGGACATTCAGCGTTACACTGAACATCTTGCAAAATTAACACTGTCAAATTGAGCTGCATCTGGCTTCCCCTTTCATCTTCCTATTACAAATGCATGTGTCAGATATGTGTGGTTTTCTCTATCTAAGCTAAGAGATCATTTTATATCAACGTCAAATCGTTCTGTGTAAAGGAAAAAGTGTCATCGTTCCAACCGCAGACTGTAAATATAGATAGACCACATGACAGCTCCCCAAAGTGAAGCCAGAGCCCTGATCGCCCCCTGGTGGCTGGCTTCAGTATAGGCCTCCTAAATGTTCGCACGTTAAATAAGTTTTACTGTCATTTTTAAATAGTTCATCCGACATGAAGTGAAGACGTGTCAGGCATCTTTATTCACAGTGGTTTCAACACTTCCACCTTGAGCTACTAGCTGCTAGATATAAACAGCTACTTGCTAATATTTAGCTGCTGGACAGGCAGCGCAGGCTATAAAGAGTAATATCTGGCAGCCGGTAGCTCAAGGTGGAAATATTGATGAAAGCCTTTTCTTCTCGTACAACTAATAACTGCACTCATTGCAAACGTCCTCGTTGAAGTAAAGCAGGTGTATTGATGGATCCCATAGTTCCAGTTACAATTATAGTAGTTGTCTGCACAATGGTCACAACCTGCAGTCCAGAGAAGCATTTGGTCTTTAAGTGCAGAACATGTGAACTTGTTGAACAACGTGAGAAGCACTTTTTTAAATGACTGTGAGACGGAGACACGCTGCCCTGTCATTGTCTAAATTTACTTAATGCTGCTTTTACAAACCTCACGTGTGTTCAGGCTGAAAATGAAGCTAATGTTACTAGAAATGCAAAGTTTTCATCCAGATGGCCTGAAAAATGTGAGTCTGAGCGAAATGACAGAAAGGACTTTACTTCCTGTTCCTTCATGAGATCAGTCCAAGTTAGACGTGTCATTAAAATGCATGTATGCAGCCACACTGGTGAATAAACACGTCAAAACAAGTGATTTACACTGACACTAACTGCTCTGCCTCTGTGCTGGGTTCCAGTCTGGACCTGGTGAAGACTCCAACAGGACATTCCTACCGTCGGACCTCTACATCCATGTCGTCATCTACGACCACAACATCAGAACGGTCTGAGCTTCAGAGGACGCTGCCGACACGTCCATACATATGGCACATATTGGAGAACACTGGAAGCCTCTAATTTGACTGAGTTGCTGTAGTTGCACCATCATTTACAAACTGTTCCTCTCATATCATGCATGCCATCTGGGTGGAGGTGCTGCAGTAAAAAGTGACTTTAAATGGAGGATTCCCAGAGGAAGAAGTGGGCGGACTGGTGTGACAACTTGAATGTTTTCTTGCAAATAACTTGAGATGTTGAATCTATATTCAGATTCTGAGACACTGTGGTCTCATTAGGCTCCCCCCCCCCCCCAAAATCAAATCCACTATTTGTCTTTCACCAAGACGATATTAGTGCAAACCAGGTTTGGCTCAGTTTGTTTGACATTCCCTTAGTCAGGGGCCAGGAACCTGCTCAGGGACCCCGGGCTCCTTCCTTGGTTTGGCCTGGCATGTTTTGGGCTGTTTGTCTAAACAAATTAAAGGCGTAAGAGCTTTGAAAGATGATGGGGGTTGCTTTTATGTCCTCCCCCAGGCTGCGGTAGCTCCAATTGGACTGGAAGAATGGGTAATGGGCTTAAAGCATTCCGCATGTTCCCAGATGCAAGGCACACGTTACAGGACATCAAAGTGCTTTATCATTTACATATTAGTCATTCGCTGTGACAGTTTTCAGTGGGAGACCACGGCTTCTTTAGAAATGATTGAAGTGCTGAAGAGGTTTAGCTGCTGATTCACTTTAATTTCTGTATTTTATTGTTTTTTTTGAAACATCCGTTCCACCAGGAGTACAATTATCTAACAAATGACAGGACTCCAGTTATCTGTTTGTTAATTATTTTTCTGTATATTCGCCAAAACACTTTGTCCATTAAGTCACAAAGAAACTGCAGGTGGACCTGAGGTGTGGGGACATTTATGTGTCCTGACCAAGTACAGTTTCCACTTTATGGGAAAAGTGGAAATATTTTTTTCATCCTGCGCTCAGGTTCTCCTCAGGTCATAACACACATACACCAGCTTTTTATTTAGTGACACTGTTTAATGAAAATATAAATGTTCAATAAAGTCTTTGGTTTCTTGAAATAACAAACAAAATCACCTTTAAATGAAAATATAAGAATCTTTAAAATGATAGTTTTGACAATATTTTGAGAAATTAGCTTGTTTGTTTTCAGAGAATTAGCATTTTCCTGTCCAAGCCCGACCTGAACGCAATGCATTCTGGGTTTAACGTAAGCTGCACAGAGCTTGTGTTACCCTGACTTGATGTCAAAATCAGCCCAGCCCACGTGACTGACCCGATCCCGGTTATCATACAAACATTTTTGTCCAAACCAAACTCGTCATCGACCCAGAAACACTCTCGTCTGCAGATATGAAAATACAGCATCTTAGCTTAGCATAAATCCTGGAAACGAGCTGAAACATCTAGCTTCTCCAGAAGTTACAAGCTCTACCTCACGTTCACAAAGTAACACTCAATGTCTTTTAAATTTAATTCATACAAAAGATTTACAGGTTGTTAAGTCCGATTTCTTCTCTGCCAAAAAAACAACTAAACGAACTGTCTTCTGTTTAAATCTGAATATTAACCAACGGCAGAGTGGTGTTGATATTTTCTTTTTCATCGAACCCTCAACAACAGATGTATTTCCCAAACTGAAGAGCTACTCCCTCAAAACTTTAGTCTGAACAAGTCTCAGGAAGAAGCTTGAGCTCGAAATGTCACTGGCAACTAAATCCTGTAACAGGAGCTGTAGGTGTGTGGATCTTCTCTTTTCAAATGGTTTGTTATGTTTTGTGAATCCAGCATCTATCAGAGAGATGTTTTACTGGATCTGCGTGTGAAACGGAGACAGACAATATTAATTTGCCCTCTTGTTTCTCTTGCTGGACTTTAATTCTGAAAGTGACAGGGTTTAAACAAATGAGTTGATTTGAACCCAAACCCCTAATGTCTCTGAGCCACACAGATACCAGAGCCTCCGTCCACAGGCTGCATCTGTTTGTCTGTTTTCACTGAATCGGACCCCGTTAACCTCATTGAAACAATATGTGCAGTGACACGGGGGATCCGGGTTCTGGGTCTGTGAGAGGTTGAGGAACGAGGGGTCTGGTTTTGTCTTTTCTTAGTTAGAGGGTTTCTGCTTTTTGTTTTTTTAAAGAAGATATGAGCTCTAGATTTGGATGACGATGAAGAACCATTTGAAGTAGACAAAAGAAACATGACCGAGGGTTGAAAAGTTGAAGACTTTAAAATCGACTTGTACATTTTAAATGTATGTTGTGCTCTTTGTGATAAAATGGATAAAACTGGTTCGTCTTCACCCCCCAACAAAACAAACTGGACCAACCAGGATTAGAGGCACATTCAAATCTGAGGGAAGGATTATGTTGGGAATCTCATTTCCTCAAGGCGAGGACTGTCCCAACCAATGATCCGTCCGCCCCATTATCTCACTATCTACCCTGCTTTGTTTTTTTTTTGTTCGTCTGAAATAAAGACTCAAACTGGCCGGGTGGCAACTGAAACATCTCAACCTCGTCCCTGCCTGTTTAAGTTTAGAGGCCTCAGCTCTTTCACGTGTCCTGGTGGAAGCTCCGCATCAGCCTTTCCAAACACCGACCGTTAAAATAAAATTCACAGGCCACTTTTTTTTATGTGCCTCACCTCTATGGACGAGCAAACCTCACCCAGACAGATCATGTGTCTGTAAACTGTAATGATTTCACAATAAAAGCTCATTTACTCTTCATTTCTTTTACTACGCTCTTAAGCTGTCAGTGTTTAAACTGGAGCGTGGTTTTTATTAGTGTGAGGCCGGACTTGCCGCTAATATACACAACATGAGGCTAAGAGGTGGATTCAGACTAAACTGGGCCCTTGACGGTAGGAGAGTTATTTATTCAGGTTTCAATGCTGTGGCATCTTTAAGTGTTTGACAGTATTTCAGAACATTTGCGCTTTAAATGGACGTCAACCAAACGTGATGCAGAAAAATGTTTAATGTGTGAGAAACATGACCTGAAAGAATAATTTGAACAAATGTACCGTGACTCTGTGTAAATGTAGCCACAGACTCAGCACATTCAGAATCTGTAGGTGTGTTTAATGTAGAATGTGTTAAATGATGTTAGAGTCTCATCGTAGTGTTTCGTAAAGTTATTTTATCTCCGGCAGGATTTGTGCACATCTTCAAGATGTCACGGCCTCGTGTTAAACTCACACCAGATCAATTTTCAGCAGATAAACTTTCTTTAATTCAAAAAGTCACTTTTTGATTTTACTTTTGTGTTTCATTAAATATCTGTAAGTGATATCGCATCATGTTTTCATTAAGTGTGATGTTCGCTCTCATACAATCCTGAACCATCTGTCCTGCTTTCTTCAATTCACTTTTTTTCAATTGAGTTAAATATGAAAAACGTTCAACTCGTATTTCTTCCTCATGAGCAACAGGTGGAAAGAAAAGTTCACTGATTGATTGATTGATTGATTATTCAGATGATTATTATGCCTCCAGCTGACGTCATTCTGCTGCTGCTGTGCTGTTGTTTACACTGATGCTGTCCTGCCCCCCCCCCCCCCCCCCCCCCAGTTGAAGGGGTTAAATCCGTCCATGTGTTGACTGCTATGACGGACATGTCATGCTAATATTATTGCCATCAGATGTCCAAGGGCGAGGAAATGTCCTAATCATTTCCTCCCGAGCGCCCCTGAAAGAGAAGCCCGGTGGCGGGGGGTGGAAGTCGGCAGGGTGGGGTGTTTAAACCCCGCCTGTATGGGCTGTTTTCGGGGTGGGGGTCTGCTGGTGGTGGGGAGACAGTACAGCATCCGGATCGGACCGCGATGGTACAGGATGTGTGTGCTTAACTCCATTGAACAGAACTAAATAGAGGAGAGAGCCTTTAATGCCGACAATAAGCCGCTTCATTCAGCAGCGCGGCCCAGACGCACAGCTCTGCGGAGTAGAAATTACGCACGGAGGGGGCTGTTCCGCCACAACAGTTTAGATGCTGAAATCACTTCAGTACATCGGTGGAATGTCCTTTAATTAAATACTCAAACAAGGTTGAAGAACATCAGTCTCCAGATAAGTGAACTACGGACTCATCCAGGTCGTGATAAGATGATTTGTCCCCAGGCTGAATGTGCGTAAAAGTATCTTGAACAGGAAACTCTCCTCCCTCTCTCTCTCTCTCTCTCCCTCTGAGCGTGTGTGTGCGTGTGCATGTGTGTGTGCGTGTGAAAGAGAGAGAGAGAGAGGGGGGAGAGGAATACCCAGCTGGTCCCACAAGCCCTATAATACCAAGCACAACATGCTTTACCTTCAATGAAAGCTGAGACGGGGGCACGGTTGACTGCTGGTCCCGAACTCTGCACAGAGCTCGTCTACAAAACCAAGAGCGTCGCTGTTTCTGCAGCTCACTTCTCCCACATCTGCGCTGCGGGACTTTTATCATCCACTGCGCGTTCACATCTGCAACTTTATCGAACGCAGCCTGGATAACGCTGCCACTCTCTCTCTCTCTCCCGCGCACCTCCCTTCACCCCCTCCTCGCTGGGACTGGTGTCAGAGGTGATGGTACCACGTTCTCACAGAGGACCGTTCCTCAGGTGATGGTTTGTCTTTTTGGAGATAGGGACCATTTCTGGAAACGCGCTAGCTCTTCCACAACTGTCGTTTTCCCCGTCGTTACCGTCGCTCTCGCTCAAGCATGGCTCTCTACTCTCGGTTTGTGGTCGTGCTGCTTTACGGATGGAGTTATCTGTGCGTTGGATACTGCGCGATGCTGAAGACTGACACTATCCCAGAGAGGCGAAAGGTGGATTTTACGCATTCGGAGGATAAAAAGCATCACGCAAAGGAAGAGCAGGACCTGCTTTTACAGGATACAATGACGGAACACATGCAGATGCTTTACGCGAAGTACAACCGGGCTGGATTTCCCTTCAAGGACGGCAACACTGTCCGCAGCTTTAAAGCGCACTGGGGTACGTATCCAAACTTTTACGCATGATTACAACACGGAGTTCTGCCAGTCTGGAGAGGGAATACACACATTTCTTAATGAATTAATATTTGAAGTTTAATCTGATCTGCTAACTTCTCTGTCTGCCTCTGTCAGAGGGAAATGTTATCCGCATATTTCAAGTGCACCGAGCTTTGTTTTTTCTTGGAGCGTGTGCGCAATTTGGCCAAATTTTAAAATGATCGATGCATTTCATTAAGAACAAGTTTACGATCCGGATTTAGGCTTAAAAAAAAAAAAAAAAAAAAGTAAAAACAACAAATGTGCCATTACGCGCAGCTGAAACTGAAATCCACCTGTTGATCCAGTCGTGGAATCAACCTGTTGCCCTCCTCCCTGCGCCAGAAACACAGATTCCTCACCAGATCTCCGACTGTAACACAACATCGTTTGCGGACACAATTGTTTTTCACGCCTTGAGATTTTACTGTCAGATAGTCTAGACGGGTTTTTTCCCTGGAGCCACATCTGGCAGCTGCTCGGTCTCACTGTGTCCCAGCAGCACAGCTCCGCCACAGCACCGAGCTGCTGCTGCGCCCGAACAGCTTTTACAAGAGTTTTCTACAGGAACTAATAGAAAAACTGTGAATTACTGAGAAGCTGCGCTGTGTCATTATCACTTGGACACCGACACTGTTCAAAACGACCGGTCTCCACTGGCGGGGTCGAAGATTATTGGACTATACTGCCTCCTGTCGTCTGGTAGATGTATATCACAGCACTTAAAGAGTCAGTTCACCAAAATTACAAACATTCAAAGATGTGTTTTTCACTCATCCCTGATGGTTTGTAGCCGTGCTGGTTTTATTTGGGCAGGTTTAGAGATATCTTGAGATTTATTTTATATTACAAATTGTCTTTTCTGAAATATCGTCCCAGTTACTTTGGATGTTCTGCATTTTTACTGAAACTATGATCTTCAGAAGTCCCAAATATATATATTATAAAAAATGAAGCTGATAAACTTGTGGATTGTCCATTTTTCATCATCTTCATTTTCATCTTCATTTCACAAACAAAACAAAAACCTCTTTCTCTTCAATGGAACAATTCTTAGACTTACATGATGACAAGTGGAGTTAATAGAAACATGTTTGTATATGTATCGTACATGTTTTGCTACAGGAAATCAATGAATCTGTTCAACTGTACATGTTATATAACCGCAGGAGAAGTAATGGTTGTTTGTTGTCTTCATTTAATGCACAGGGACCATAAACAAGAAGCAGCTGCAGATTTTCAACCTCACCTCTCTCACCAAGTCAGAAGATGTTCTGTCGGCCACTCTTCATTATTACATCCGCGACCTTCAGAACGGCACCCACGGCTGCTCCAGGACCAAAAGCTGCGGCCGCCACGGGCCCCGCAGACACAGCCACATCCACATGGTCATCTGGAGCTTCGCCTCCGTGGATAACAACATGAGGACTCTCGGACAGTTTCGAATCAACGTGTCCACCCTCTACAGGGACTTCATATCCTGGCAGTGGAAGGACATAACCCGTGTGGTCAACCAGGCCAAGCATCACGACGAGCTGCTCATCGGAATCGACGTGGCCTCGCAAGGGCCCCAGCCGTGGAAGAAGCTCCTGTCGGACCGCTCACCCTACATCCTGGTCTACGCCAACGACTCGGCCATTTCAGAACCTGAAAGTGTTGTAGCCACCCTGCAGAGACACCATCCAGTGGCGGGGGAGGGCCCCATCTCACAAGGCTCCCATAAACTGGGCCTCCTGGAGCGAAACCACACCGAACAAGAACAGCCCCGGCCCAGACACAAGCGCTCGGTGAACGTTCTGCTCCCGCTGCAAAACAATGAACTCCCCGGTCCCGAGTATCCGTACGAGACGACCGGGTGGGACGAGACTAGTCCGTACGAGCCTTTTGAAAACAAGCAGGCCCGTCGGCCACGGAAAAAGACGCGCAAGAATCAGCGGCACAAGATGCCCCTGCTGCAGTTCGACGAGCAGACGATTAAAAAGGCGCGAAAGAAGCAGTGGAACGAGCCGAGGAACTGCGCACGCAGGTACCTGAAAGTGGACTTCGCTGACATTGGATGGAGCGAATGGATAATATCACCAAAGTCGTTTGACGCCTACTACTGCTCAGGGTCCTGCCAGTTCCCCATGCCGAAGGTGAGAGTCAGTGCTGTACATCACAACTGCAGAGATTATCGATGCCACAAGAGGTTTCCAGACAAATCTTAGGGTTTGTAAGATAACGAGAAAACAGCCAGAGCCTTAATTTAACACTAAATTATGATTATTTCCTCTGATGTTCAGCCAGTATAGTTTGTTCTTGTAATTTCTGAATCATTGGACTTTGTCTTGCCTCTAAATTTTATTTTGTGGCTGATCTTCGTTTCTTCGAGGTCAAACGATTGTAGATCGTTGGAGCTTTTTCGACTAAAACTCCTGATTTGATTTTGTCCTTTTTCTTTTCGTGCGGTTGTGGTGATGGTGCGCATTATGTAAAACAGAACCGTCCATGTTGAGCCATCCATCAGTCCCGTGTTTACTGCCGCTCGTACTGTTCTGTATTATGTTGATTCGGGAAACATTTACTTCAGAAGTCCGCGACGCCTGCTTCGTATTATAGATGATAATGTCAAAGAAACTGACAGAAACGTTTGCCATCTGTTTCCAGCTTCCTCTGCCAACGTAAACTCCACACAGCGGTAGAAGTGCACGTTCTTCTTCGTGCTTTTATCTTCCGAGGAATTAAGATCTTTGGAGGTATGCACCCGAGTTAAATTTAATAAAACATAATATTAGTCCAAGACGAGCCGCGTCTCACACTGGTCAAACCCCAGACGATGTAATCTGAGTGGGTTTGTACCAAAACGTGAAGAACAGTCAGATATACAACTTCCTGAGGAGCAGGTGGTCGACCTCAACATCACAAAATCAATAAAGGTTTCTAACCTCAGTCGAGGGGAAACCAGCAGTGACCTCGACGGAAAAAACTTTCTTCAAACTTCCTCCTCAGATGGCGTCACTCACTTTAACACGTTTTGCAGAACTTATGTAAAGAAGCGAGAGAAACAAAGAAACTCGATGTTGAGCGTCTCCTCTCGCAGCTCGCGGCCCCCTGGTGACAAGATAACATCACAGGTATTTTAAACATGGCCGGAATGCCTGGGTTTCCATCCACTTAATTCATTACCTCGGAGTCACCGGCCTTTGTAGCTGGATGTAATTAGTCCCAGAAGTCGAGCCCGGGGCCTGAGGTGAAACCCGCCTCCCCCTCCTGAAGGGTTTGCCGCTCAGTCAGTCCGAGCTGAGATCCTGTGATGTTCCTGCTCCTTTGTCAGGTCAAAGCCTCAGATGCGGCTAAATAGCGGCTGTTAAAAGCGGCTCTGCCTGCAGGTTATCGCGTCGCGTGGGAAGAGTCCCGTCACTTATTGGAGACACGAACTGACGAGGTGATAAACACGTGTGGGAACTGTGAGGGAAACATCTGCCTGATGCTTCTGAACACAAATGAACTGTGAGAGTTGTGAAACGCATCACGACCGCGACGTCATACAAGGTCGGACACTTAGACCAGAAGCATCTCCCTCATTTCACAGGAAAACTGAACGTGTGCGTGCACGACAACAGAGTCCTTCAAACCAGAACCAGGAGCTTTAAACGATGACAGATGTCAACGATGAACGTTTCAGCTGATAATAGTTTCTTCCTCTCTGTGATCGAGGAGATGAACTTGAGTGATAGCGAGAGGAACGAGGGATCATGAAAAGAAGATGTTTTAAACCTTCACCTTAATGAAAAATGATGATTGAAGTGACTCACTGATCAGTATCTCAGGAAAACAAGCGATCGGCTGCATTAGTGGGATTTTATAAAACTTTTTTATTAAAGCTGGTTATTAACTCTTGATTCCTCTTGAAACTTTGTGGAAGAGTTCTGGAATGAACGAAGGAGCTGATTGGATTAAAGGGACAGGACCAAGATTGTTTTTCTCTTTCTGTAACTTTGCAACTTTTTAAAATTGATTCTGAATTTCCATCAAAATGTTAGAGAAAGAGAAAACCTGGATCCCCCCTGATCTTGATCTGCACCAACATGTGGTGGTTTCTCTCCTGACCCTCGTCACATCCTGTAGTTTTTACATAATCCTGCCGACAGACACATGGAAACAGAACGAGATATATTTAATCCCTGTTGTGTTTTTGCTTTAGGCTCTGAAACCGTCGAACCACGCCACCATCCAGAGCATAGTGCGGGCAGTGGGTGTGGTCCCGGGCATCCCTGAGCCGTGCTGCGTCCCGGAGAAGATGTCGTCCCTCAGCATCCTGTTCTTCGACGAGGACAAGAACGTGGTGCTGAAGGTCTACCCCAACATGACTGTAGACTCCTGCGCCTGTAGATAGTTCTTTCTTTTTTTTTTTTAAATCTCTTGTTCCTTCAAAGCTTGTTCACGTCAAACTTACGTTCCACACAAAAGAAAAAAACCATCAACACTTGCAGCCAAGCGAAACTCTCTCCTCCCGTTTCTTCAGTCTCACTCACCCGCTCACAAACACCCACTGAACACAACTTCCCTTTTGCACTGGAGGAGAGCGCTGCCTGTTGTTCCAGGTGAAGAGGAGACGGGTCCGTTCACGGGAAGGAGCGGACCGCGCGAGTTCCTCCTCGAGGAAGACAACCCGGAAGGTGAAGGTCCAAATCTCCACGCTCCCATCGCACCACTGTTCATCCCGCCGGCTTCATCGAGAGCAGGTCGAATCACAAACTCACTTTCAAGATATGAAAAACGCAGAACGAGGCACGAACTGAAAGAAAAATCGCTCTCGAGGAGAAATGACACCTGACGAGGGCGGAGGTCAGGGCGGAGGTCACGCTCCTCTTTCTCTTTCCACAGCTCGACTCTGGTCATTAACACAAAGTCCCCTCTGCTCGCACTTGCATGGTTTTCGTTTCTATGCGTCCGTGTCTGTACTATCACTGTGTTATTCACTATATGAGAAGTTATTGTATAATTATTGGCTTGGCTGCTATAGAGAGATATATTAGATTCCAAAGCCAGAGTTGTGATGTAGACGGCAGGAAGCCTCACACGTGTTCCGACCACTGCTCCCTCTGTACAGAACCCACGTTATAAGAGTTTATTATATTGGAAGGAGTGAGCTGCGTTTCATTGGCGGTTCTTCATTAACACGGTTTTTTTGAGGAGAACCTTAATTCCATTGATTTGCCGAGAAAATGTTGAAGCGTTATTAGATTTATAAACATTTAAAAAAGAAGAAACGACTTCATCTCTTTGTGTTTTAATACAAGAGTCAAACCACGTCGACGACACGTGCGTGGAATCAAACTTCGTTCAGAAACAAATCAAATGAGTCACGAGACTTAGCAAACCTTCTTCTCTTCTTTTTATTTTCGACATTGTTTGATGATAATGTTTAAAACTGTTTGTCGTCTTTACAGCGTAGAATGACGTTCATTAAGAAAAAGCTATTGTAAACTCCCAGAATGCCTCTGGAAACGTGTTTATATCAAACAAATATTCAGCGCTGGTCTGGAATCAGTTTTGCCTTCAGCTCGTCATTTTTGGTTTAAACCCTTTATATTTTAAAAGTGCCTCGACTTCTCAAAGGCTCATGTTGGATCGAGCCTCAAGCTTCCACCACGTTCTCCCAAGATGAGTCAAAACCAAACGTAGGAAACATGACGTCACATAATGAATGATCAGTGAGAGCTGGGTCACATGAGCCTTTAATATTATTATGTAACGTGGTGTAACATACATTTGACATCGGGCGAGTCACATTAACTTTGAACAGCAGGCTCAGGTGAGCGAGCGGTCGACACGAGTTCAACGAACCAAATATTTATTCAGAGCTAATTGAAACTAGAATATCGCAGCGTTCACGTTCTCTATACACTTGTACAGTGTTGTTGTATATAGCTCTCTCCGGTGATGACGCTCCGTCGTGTCTCTGAGGAGCAGAAGAGTCTTCTGAACTGTGGATTTCTGCTTTTCAAACATTTGGTTCATCTTCGCTCAGAGGAACCGAAGTCAAAGGAGATTTTTTTTTTATGGTACAGAACACGTCGTCTCCAACATCTTATTCTCGATGATCGTCAGTGGAATTTATTCTATTATGTATTTCAAATAATTCACTATTTTGGTATTTCAGAGACATTTATTTTGTGTCAATAGCTAAGGGCAGATTGTTTAACTTTATATATTTTGTACTGACACTTTCTTGTGCTTCCTCACCTTTGTGCCAATACAGGTTTTAGTAATGCATGCCGTTGAAAGAGGCGCCCCCTTCTGGTCGTGACCGTGCAACAGTGCGGTCGTGACGAGTTGTTTTGGGTTCTAAACTTGGACGTGCAGGTTTCAAAGACGCGCACATGTTCAGTTCGAGTACACCAGCAGTTCATAAGAGGTTTTTCTACTTCACTGTTCAACCCCAACTTGTAAATGTTTTACTGTAGGTTAAAAAATGCTTGTACAATAAGCTTCATAAAATATATTTGTATATGGAAATGACCTTTAACATGCATCTATTTATTTTCTGTATGTTGCATATCTTGTGGAGGTGTGGTCTGGGAAACGGAGCCCGGACATGTTGATGCTCTTTACGTCTGTGACGGACGTTAGTCACTGCTGATGTGAAGGTGTGGTGAACTGTTTAAAGGGCCCCCCCCCCCCCCCCCCTCCCCTCTGAGCTCCGACCCTCCTCACAAAGCATTCAAAGAAATGAATAAAAGTATGCAATAGTGAACACAGTATGTTGTGTGTTTCTAAAATCTCGTGAGCGAAGGTTCGAGAGGAAAGAGGCACAAAACAAAAAACACAGAAACAAAATATTCAAAGTTTATTCCCGTTTCATTCTCATATCTTACAAAACCAACATTTCTTTCACTTACGCACAAAAAGGTCAATATTTACAGAAATGTACATCGTGTGTTTCGTACTGTAGTACTCAGCTAACGCAGCATTTGTGTGGGAACAGCCTCAGATTTGCTTATAAAATTATAGAAACTTATGCATTTTACCAATGTTCCATTTTTTTTAAATGTTGTTTTTTTGAGATTTCAACCGCGATGCTAAGAGACCTGAACACATCTGAACATAAAAATACAAATATTCAGCAAACAGGATTTCTAAACAAACGCCGAGGCTTCAAACAGCTTGGGTTAACGTTTCTGTTTTCGTGAAACTTCATTTAAAGTCAGGTTCACGGAAACATGACGGATGTTTCAGTTCAGTCGACAGAACAAACCTGAACCAGACGTCAGATTTGATTTACGAAAAACAGAAACACAGCTGTGTCCAGAAATCAGTTCTTTTTATAAGGCCACAGCTCGTCCGAAGATTTCCTACTGTCAACACACACACACACACACAAACACACACACACAAACACACACACACATCCATACACACACCAGTCTACGTACAAACAGAATATATATATATATATATATACGCTATGTGTGTTCATGTTTACATGAAGGAACACGCAGCCTGGATTGTGTACATTGTGTATTTGGGATGATTGTGCTTTACAGTGTATTTACAAATAGACACAGTTCATTTACTGTAAAATCTTCAGTGTTTTAAAAGAAAAAATACTTTAACTTCAACCCGAGCTCCTGAGAATCTCCTGGTAATCGCTCTAAAGCCATAAAAACTGCTGGATGATGCTCACGCTCCTCCATGAAGAGCAGAAGGTGTTCGTGTTCCTCTGTGTGTGTGTGTGTGTGTGTGTGTGTGTGTTGACTCTTGCAGCTTCTGAGCACAAATTAAAATCCTGTTTGTGCTGCAGTGTGTTGTGGTTTGAAGCCGGCTGAGCGGTAAAGTGGAGTTTCTTCCCTCTGCCTTTGTTCTCCACACGTATTCTACCTTCTGCCCACACACCTCAATTCCTCCGCAGCCGTAAACAACCTGCAAACATCTAACCAGCAGCTCCCTCGGCTCCTCAGCTGCAGGAAATAAAAGACCTTGCAGCTGCGTCGCAAGTTTCCCTACCAGCCACATCTGGAGCCGTCATGAGGGCCCGGAGAACAATAAACATTTAGAGGTTTCTGTAAGAGATTATTAAATGGGTGCAGATTGATTAAGGAATGTAAAAACATAACAGTGTGAAATAAGACACTGATCTGTTTCAGTGATCTCTCCCTCCGCAGCACTGATGAGCTGAAGCTCGAGAACGTCACGCACACTTTCACTTTCTGGCCCGGAGGCTGATTGAGCAAAGCTAACGCTGCAACTCGTGACGTCTCCCACTTTGAAACCTCGGCCGAGACAACAAAGCTTCTAACGCTGCGTTTCACTCGAACCGTCCAGGGGTCAAACACACACACACACACACACACACACACACACACACACACACACACACACACACAGAGACCTGAAGGAAAAGACGGGTTTTTAGAAGTCCATGTCCCAACCAGACAGCTCCTCAGGAGGACTGTCCTCATCTGCAGGGTAACTGTCAAAGTAGCTGTGATCTGTCGGCCCACTGACCTTTTGAGGACGAGAAGACAACATTTTGTTTTGTAAAAACAGGAATTTTAAATCTGCAACGATCTCAAGTTCACTTCTTGTGTCTTCTTTCTAAGTTTGGACGATTGTCTCCACTCACCTCTCTTCTCAGTGGAGACGACAGAGTCCTCGCCTTCAGTCCGTCCCAGTTGAAACCATTGAACCACCTTCGGAAACATTATTGAACAAAAACACGAGTTAAGTCAAAGCCCAAACATGTTATTTGTAAGTATAAGTAAACTGTGATTATTTCAGTGACTGTAGCACGAATGTAAAAAGTATTTTTCGATATGTTTCGCAGCGAGTGATGATCTAATCAGCCAGAAGGTCGTAAACCACCGGCCCACGCTCCTCATGTTCGGTTAGTGCTAATCACTGCAGCTAAAAGAGACGACATGCGTCACTTCCTTCTTACCTGTGTTTCTTGATATCGGTGATTCCATTTTTGAGGTTGCCCAGTCGCTCTGAGGGATTTCGCCTGTAAAGTTAGACCAGAGTGAGAAACGCTTTGAGTGCTTTAAGACATTCCGGGACTTCGCCTCCTGTTGATTTAGTTGCACATCTGGAAAACGTTGACTGGAAAACACAAAACTTGGTTTGTTCGCCCGTCAGCAGGACGTGATCGGAGATACTGGTTGGCAGAGTTCGTGTAGTAAGCGTGGCCGGTTTCAGGATTGACACGTGTGATGTCGTACCTGCACAACTTGCGTATGAGGTCCTCAGGTCTCTTGCTGATCTTCTTGGGGAAGTCCATTTTCTCGATGCCTTTCAGGATGAACGTGTACGTCATCATCTGGTCGCTCCCTGAGAACGGAGGACTGTGGGGCGGTGGAAGACAAACGGGTTTCATTTCGCTCAGTCTCCTGACGTCCGGCTGCAGACGTGAGGCGCAGACACTCACCTGCCGGTAAGGAGCTCAAACACCAGGATGCCCAGAGACCAGAAGTCCACGCTGAAGTTGTGGCCTTTGTTGAGGATGATCTCTGGGGCCACGTACTCCGGGGTCCCACAGAACGTCCAGGTCTTTTGGCCGCATCTGATCTTCTTGGCAAACCCAAAGTCGACCTGCAAACACAGAGTTAATCAAACATTTGAAAAACCAAAAACTGTGGCGACGTCGTGTTTTCTGGACGGAACACGTTGGATCCCACTCACCAGTTTGATGTATCCCTCAGTGTCCAGCATGAGGTTCTCCGGCTTCAGGTCTCGGTAGAGGACACCTTTGCGATGGAGGTAGTCGAACGCCTCCGTGACGCAGCCGACACAGAATTTGGCGACGGGCTCGTCGAAGCTCCCCCTGCAGGTAAGACCAGACAAGCGTGATTTAATATGTCAGCTGCAGCGTGGCAGAGGAAGAGACGTTATTAAGAGAATCCACCTGAACTCACTTACAGGCAGCGCTTCATTTACGATAACGAGCTTTTAAAATGGGACGACACACGAGTCATGGGTCAGCGGCTGCTTCGTCCTACCTGTCTCTGAGCAGGCTCCAGATCTCTCCGCCCAGACACGCCTCCAGCAGCATGTACACGTATTTGTTGTCCTTGAACGTTCGATAGAGTCTGAGAACAGAAGCACAGACGAGAGAAGTTCGGTAAAAAGTTTTGACCAGGACATCACGGCTGCTCTGTCTTTCATGAGCAACTGAACACATGTTGTTTTATATTTGAGCCCGAGCTCGACGGATCACGAGTTTGTTAAAGATCAACAGATCTGAGCTTTTTCACAATATTTATTTAATTATCTATTTAAATATTTATTTACATTGGTTCATTCTCTATGTATTTGGTATTTGTTTGGTTTTTGGTTGTGTTTACATTTTGGTATCAGACATTTTTTAGTCTCTTATATCGATATATGATTTTCTCGTTCTCAATATTCAGGTTTTACTCAAAACCCAAATTGGTGCATTCAAGTAAAATCTAAAATAATTTTCCTGATGGTGAAAATATGCCGGATGTTTTCTCTGATCTCGTTCTTTAATTTAAATATCGATAATCACTTTCACCATTAGAGCACCATGATCAATATTTAAAGACGTTCCTGCTCAAATTGTTGCTTCTTAAAAATGTTAGAGACCCAGGAGCATAATCAGCATCAGAGTTTGTCACTGGAGATAACGGAGGTGATGTTAAATCCACGAACACATGAAAAATGTACAATAAATACAGAGCGGGTGCGAAGAGGAGGTCAGAGTGAAGAACGACTTTAATATCAGAGTCTGTTCCGCTGCATCTGGAGAAACTGGATCATCAGCAAAGAAAAGCCGCCGCTGCAATATTTCAAAACAAATAATGACATTTCCACAGCGGACGTCTCTGCACTTGCAGCCGTCCTGCTCCGCCGAGGAGATGGAATCTGCTCGAGGCCTCGACCGTGATCTCATCAAAAACTAATAAGCTCCGCGCCGGTTTTTTTCCTCGACTAATGGAGCAGAGCTTCATCGTGTGGGAGAAGAGATGGAAAAGTGTTTAGAGGACTGACTTGACGACGAAAGGTGAGCGAGCCTCGGCGAGGATCTTCCTCTCAGAGTGGATGTGCTCCTCCTGTCTGTTGTCCACCACGTGCTTCTTCTTGATGACCTTCAGAGCGAAGGTGATGTCTTTGCCCTTCACCTTCACCTGCAGAGGAGGGGGGGG